AAGTCATAATTTTATGAGAAAAAAGTCCTAATTTTATGAGATTTTTTTTTAAGTTGCCTTTAATCTTGTATATTTACAATTTTTTCCAACATCGTAACTTTTTTTCCCTAAAATGATTAGTAATTTTTCTTAAGTGTATGACATTTTTCCTCATTAAACTTTTTTTTTTCACAATGTTATGACTTTTTGTTATGATTTTTTTATATCTCTCAACGTGGATCTAATTTTCCGTCGTACAATATAAACAACAATGAGCGGCCATATTTAAATGTTTCCTCTCTCAGTTCCTCAGGACTTCAGTTACCTCCCAGAGAAAAGTATCATCAGAGCAGTCGTTGACTTCCTCTCAGAGGCAGGAAAGAAAGGTTTGTGGATCACATGTACAGTATATGAAAAATTACATTTCATACTGTGAAGGTTTTTGATTGGACGCCGCTGTCGGTGTAGCTACAGTAGCCAGAAAAAACTGGGAAAGATATCATTCATAATTACTCATCTTCTCTGTGTCCAGGTCCAGAGGTCTGTCCTCCAGCTATGGTTAAAGCCGCTCTGAACTCGCTGGCCTCAGTTGGATCCAGTTCTCAGTACCCACCTATCAACTGGAATTCTGTTCTCTCTCCGCTAATGAGGCTTAGTTTCGGTAAGAGATGTACAGTAACACAGACTCTCCGTCAGAGAGAAACAAGCACAGTGTTGATGCGTTTTTCTGCTTTTTCTTTTGCTGACAGGAGAAGATGTGCAGCATCAGTGTGTGGTTCTGGCTGCCTGTCAGGCTCAGTCCTCCCAGAGTGCCTCTCTCTTCTTGGGCTCCTGGCTCTCACCGCCACTAGTGCACAGTCTCAGTGTAAGTACTGTCCGAGTACTATTTCAAAATAAAAATAATATTCATTTAGTTAAGACTTTTTTTGGTTAAATGCATGAGTACTGACATAACTATCATCCTAAAACATTTTGTGCTTCTGTATCAGCCAGTCTTTTAAAATAGAAAATGTTTCCGCTTTACATCACTCTATCCCAGGCATGGGCAAACTAAGGC